TTCTTCTTCTTCTTCTTCTTCTTCTTCTTCTTCTTCTTCTTCTTCTTCTTCTTCTTCTTCTTCTTCTTCTTCTTCTTCTTCTTCTTCTTCTTCTTCTTCTTCTTCTTCTCCTTCTCCTTCTCCTTCTCCTTCTCCTTCTCCTTCTCCTTCTCCTTCTCCTTCTCCTTCTCCTTCTCCTTCTCCTTCTCCTTCTCCTCCTCCTCCAAACCTGGAGGTTTTTAAGAAGAGACTGGACAGCCATTTGTCTGAAATGGTATAGGGTTTCCTGCCTGAGCAGGGGGTTGGACTAGATGACCTCCAAGGTCCCTTCCAACTTTATTATTATTTATTACTACTACTACTGCTGCTGCTGCTGCTGCTGCTGCTGCTACTACTACTACTACTACTACTACTACTACTACTACTACCACTATTATTTTCAGTCATGTCCAGTTCATGGAGATTGCCTGGACATGTCCCTGCAGTTTACTTGGCAAGATTTTCCAAAAGAGTTTTGCCATTGCCTCCTTCCTAGGGTTGAGAGAAAGTGACCGGCCCAAGGTCAGGCAGCTGGCTTTGTGCCTAAGGTGGGACTAGAACTCCTGGACTCCCAGTTCTTAGCCCGATGGCCTTCACCGCTACACTAAACTGGCTCTACCGCTTTATTACTCAGCTGTAAGTTTGTTCAACGCAAATAGTTGAAAGAGAGATAACACACAGGATGAAGGATGTAAATCTGGAGGAAACTCCCCTGTGAAAGTTGGCTTATGTATTGTAGCAGAGCATCTCAGTGAGTTGGTCTATAGTGAGGGATGAGTGGGGAATTTTAGAGTCACTAGACCTGCATTAAAGGTCCTGGGACAATGTGGCTCATGGGAATTAATCCAAGATTAGAAGCCAGTGATCTGTCCATAAGGTAAGGAGACAGAAGATCTAGGAATATGAAAGGAATATTTGATACTTGCAACCCCACCGTGTTAAAAGAAAAGCAATTTTCCATTCACCTAAACAGAACAGAACAAATAAAATATCTTTGTGGTCGTTGTGTAACTCACAACAAAACTAAAGGCTGCCCACACTGCCCACTACACACAAGTAAAATAAAATCACAGATAATGAAGGAAATTAGGGTCCTCCGGGAATTTAAATACTATGGATATTAAAGGTTAAATTGGAATATTCTAATGAAAAATGAGGTAAAATTTAAATACAGGATAGGGATATGTATAAGCGAAAATATAAGGATAAACGTTTTAATTGAGCTTGTTATAACTAGAAATCTATTAGCTTAAAAATGATACAGTAAATGTTAACGGAAATAGAGAAGGGATTTTTTGATGATGTAACCTGAGATATGTCCTGAAGATTTTGTTATTGTACTATTGATTTTCCCAATCACCACGCTGCTTTCCAAATACTTAAATGTAAAACTGGAAAACCAATAAAAAACTTGTTATAAAAAAAAAGCACAAATAAGAACACACATTACATACTCACATCCTTCACATTCTGTTCACCATTGCGCTGCTGCCCGTGCTATCGCACTTCAATGTCGCACTGTACTGTGGTTATTTCACATGCTTCCAGCTCTGGGACCAAAGCTATTTTCCAGCCTATTTGTCTTTGTTTTCATTATCCTGGACCGTCTGCCAGAGGGTAATAGTTAAATGATTTGTCTTTTTTCCCGTTTTCGAGATCTTTTTAAAATTAACCTTTTCATTTACACGCAACGTCAGCGTAACTGAGGCAAACATTGTCGTTTTAGAGGCTCCACGGGCAGTCACCACTTGCCCCAGAAGAGCTGGAGAGAGTATTTGACACGCTGGATGCAGATGGCAACGGCTCCCTTACGCTGGAAGAATTCACCACCGGATTCAGTGAGTCCTCAGCCCG